CCTGGGTGCTGTCCCTGGTCCCCCCAGAGCAGAGCTCAGTCCCTGCCCCTGCCCACGGAGTTGGAACTGCACTGAGGTCTCCCCTCAGTCTCCTCTGCTCCAGCTGAACACACCAAGTGCCCTCAGGCTCCTCACACAGCCCCTCTCAAGGCCCTTCCCCATCTTAGTGCCCTCCTTTGGGTGCTAAAGCACTTCCAGGGCAGCCCAATTCCTCATCCTGTACCTGCAGAGTTATTTCAAAACAACCCATTTCCACCCCTGAGCTCGTGAGAAGGAAACTGCCCCGATGAACGTGATGAAAACTGAACCTCCAAAGAACTCATTAAAAACACGTGACCTGCAGCCCAAAGCCCCAAACCAAGCAGTGGGATATGAAGTGTTTGAAGGCAGAGATGGGCACTTGGAAACCTGCCCCTCTCCCTGCCTTGCAGGCTGAAGCCACTCTGCATTTTTGGGGTGCTGGTGCTGTGTTTGCCCTCTTTACTAACCCTGAGCAGTGCAGGTTATTGGAACCCAGCTGAGAAAAGGATCATTAAGCACTGCCAATTAATTTAAACACCGCCTGGTCAGCCTTGGGAAAAAAACCCCAAAAACCAAAAAACAAAAACCCAAAAAATTCTGCCCTGATTCCCTAAAATGGAATCGTGGAATCGAGGCTGGAAAAGCCCTCTGAGGTCATCGAGCCCGACCCTCAACCCAGCAGTGCCAAGCCCAGATCCCCACATGTGGGAAATCCCTGCAGGGATGGCGACTCCACCACCGCCCTGGACAACCCTTTCCACGAAGGAATGTCATGGAAAAGCTGCTCCAGTGCTGTGCTGCCCAGGAGGCCCCAGCCCCACACTGACCTGTCCCTGTTCTTGGTCAGCAGGTTGCGTTCGATGCCCTCCATGAGGTTCTCGAAGCAGAGGTGCATGGCCTGCTGCTTCTCCGGGGGCTGGCTGTTCACTATGCTGTTCCTCAGGTCAGAGAAATACTGGGAAGACAGGAAAAGGATGGGTTAGTTCCCAGGGGACCTCGGCTTCGGGGCAGGACACGCACAGGGGGCTCCTGGGAGGAGGGAGGGAACGTGTGACAGCTCTTTGGGGGGCTCTGAGGGAATTGGATTGCTCAGCTCCGAGGGTGTGCAGGGAGGGCTGGACACCCTTCCCTTGGCACCTGCTCTCTCCAAGGCTTCCCAACCATCTGCTGCTCCCTCAGCACCAGCCAAGCCCTGCCATCCCTCCTGGCTCCGTTACCTTCTCGTTGAGCAGGATGAGGCCGAGCAGGGGCCTGGACATGGACCACTGGTTCCTGCAGTCCTCGAAGATGATGATGTTCAGCACTGTCGAGAGCATCTGGAAGAGGGAAATGGGGTTTGAGAGCAGCCCTGCCCATCCCAGCTCCCTGCTCAGCACGGCCCAGGAGCAGCGAGGCACCCCCAGGGCTGGGGGATCAGGGGTGCAGAGCCCTGAGTGCCAGGGAATCCTGGAATTTGGGGTGGGAAACACCTTCGAGGCTATTTGCAAGAGCACAGAGTGACAGGACAACAGGGAATGGCTTAAAACTGAGAGAGAGTCGGGTTAGATGGGATATTGGGAAGGAATTCCTCCCTGGGAGGGC